TTATGTTAAGACTTTGTCTTAATTATAAATAGTGTATGACAAATAAAATTAATCTCTGTCCTTCTAATCAATCTAAGGTTGTAACAAAATGTTGCTTTTAAAGCATCAACAATCCACATCAAAAGCACTAACAGGATTGTCTTTCATCCATAACATAAAATTAATACATTGATATTTTATAGCTGTTAATATAAACAACCTATCTGAGAACTACTATTGAATTTGGAAAACTTTATTACTGGCCTCAAAACCATTAAACTGAGCTTTAAAACTGTACCATCATTAGAAGATAACATTGTGAATTTTTTTCTTTTCTTTTTCTCAATCAAGTTAAATGTGTCAGATATCTCTCTAGGATTTTTGAAAGTAGGGATAACAGATGCAGTTTTTTAAAATTTTTGGATAACAGATGCAGTTTTTTAGCAGGCTAGAAAACAAAAGTCTGATAAGCACTTTTTAAATAGTTTGAAAGTATAGATTACTTCTCCGGAGAATACTTATTCAAGTCTAAGCAGAAAATCACTTTAGATGCAGAAACTGGAGTAATAAAAATGTCAGGCAATGAATCAACATGTTTGTTGGCTATATCAAGTAAGATGTGATTTGTAGAACCAAAAGTCATCTTTTGGTTCCACAAATCACAGATTGATGAAAGGTTCTTACCAAATAACTCAGTTTTATCCTTAGGTTAGGTAACAAAATCTGAACCTTGCAAAAGTGAGGTGGAATAACAGATTTGCCCTTATTATAGACAATATTAAAGATTCTCCAGAAGTCTCAGAAACCTAATTTTTGAGATGAAATACAAGAGAATAGCTGGCTTTAGCAATAAGACAAAATCTTTTAACAATGGTTTCTAGCAATAGTAAACAGACGTCTGTTTTCTTGAGAATTGTTATAATGATAGGTTTGGAATTAATGGTTACAATTAAAAATTGCAGCCGCACAATGAGTGGAAAAGCATGGAAAAGAGTAAGGCTTAAATTGAAATTGTTGAGAGGGAATAAAAGATTCCATGGTTGCCTGAATCTAAGAAGTTACATAAGAATCACATTTTTCAGCACTAAGACAAAATATTTCTACTCAAGTACCATCACAGAAAAAAACACTGAAAGAGTTGCAGTCAGTTTTAAGGTAGTTGTAAAATAAGAGGTACAATGAAAGGGGGATTCTGATGATGAAGAAGAATGAGATAATAGTTTTAGAGAGATCAAACCGTGATCAGAAGCACCTAAGGGTAAATGTACGGAAACTGAGCACTGACTAGGATAACAAACAAGACTTAAGTCAAGTAGAGGTAAATGATTTGGATTGCCTTGAAAACTTGCTAAAAAGTTGACTAGATTAATTAGAGATTGGGAAAGACAACATTTGTGAGTCTTAATGCCTGCAGAGTCACTAACACTAGAGGCAAACCATTTGATGAGAATTTAACTCACTAACAACAACAATATTGGCTGAAGAATTAAAATAAAGGGCATGGGTTAAAGTTAGAGTTAGGGTTAGGGTTCAATTTGATCAGAAATAACATTGAAAAGAAGACAGTCTTGAGATAGAGGAAAGCAATATAAAATAATGAGAAAGTTTATAGAGTGAAGTGGGGCTGAATGAACAAGTTTATAGAGTGAAATGGGGCTGAATGTACAAGTTTATAGAGTGATGTGGGGCTGAACGAACAACATTAACTAAAGAATAGTAATAGTAACATAAATGAATAGTACATAGATTCAAAAGTTTTTTGGACACTTGAGTGAATGCTTATGCTATGTAAATGCCCAGGCCAAGCAGGTGACTACCCAGTAAGCAGACACTATTTGGCCCAATAACGAACCAGACTCGGCTGCTTAGCTGTACTAGGCCAGTGCTGGTGCAGCAACGTTTTGCTAGTGGCAAGCCAGCATTGATTCAATTTAGGGCCAACGCTGGCAATCAACGAATGTTGCACTAAACGCCAACTATATAAAATTGTCCAATTAAACTACTTTTTTTATCAATTTTTACTTATTTTACTTATTTTATATATATATATATATATATATATATATATATATATATATATATATATATATATATATATATATATACATATATATATATATATATATATATATATATATATATATATATATATATATATATGTATATATATATATATATATATATATATATATATATATATATATATATATATATATATGTATATATATTTATATATATATATATATATATATATGTATATATATTTATATATATATATAAATTTTAAATAATTATATAAAAATAATTATTATATCTATTATGTTTGTCAGTTATGTTGTTTTTTTTACTTTTTGTTAAAATAGACACAAGTTAAAAACAAAAAACAATTATTGAATTCATATAATATATTGTTTGTTAATAATATACAAGTTAGTAAATTTGCATTAAAAATATATAAAAAATAAATGCATTAAATTTATCATTAATAATATAAATACTTGTAAAGCTTATAATAATTTCAAATGTACAATTAATATAAAACATAACATATAAAACAGATCATGCAAGACTTTAAGAACATTATATTTTGTCAGATTCATCAAAAATAAAGCGTTCAAATTGTGGTAATGATAATCCAGATAAAAGTTTCAATGTTAATGATTGGACAGTATAGCCAAGATTTTTTGTTGAACTGGTTTTCTGGATGGACTTTTTTTCTGCTCTTTCTTTTCTGCCTCTATTTCTGTCTAGAGCTCCAGAAAAAAAAAAGCCACAACTGCCTTTTAAATTTCGCTGTATGTGGTATCTTTTGTCAGCAAATTTCTTTGTATTGCTTCTATAAACATAAACGCAGTCATATATCAAGTGTTTTTATGAACAAAATTATAAGAGTATAGCTAAATATAGCTATTGTATATATCTGTATATGTCTATATCTGTTTCTCTCTCTCTTTGTTTATATATATATACATATACATATAGGCAGGATTAAAAATTCTTTTTTTTTTCAAAAGCAATGACCTTTATAAACTAAATTGAAAATTCAAAAAAAAATAAAAACGTTTATAAGGGGACAATAATACCTAACATGCTACCTATAAAGACTTATTTAATTTCAGGTAAAGATATTGCATGTGGAATAATAACTTTTTTGTTATAGCTATCGAAACTTGTATCAGGGAAGGAACCTATCGTTCCTTCCCTGACACAAGTTTTTAACGCCTATAACTAAAAATTTAGAATTCTACTAACAATGTCTTTTCTCAAAATTAAATAGATATTTATAGTTAGTTTGTTAGGTATTTTTACCCCCTTCTAAACCTTTTTAATTTTTTTTTAATTTCAAATTTAGTTTTAAAGGCCATTCCTTTTGAAAAACACGACTTTTTTTCGTATCTCAAATCGAACAGGTTTTGATTCGAAAATCAAATCAAGAATCAAATCAGAAATTTAAGGAATATGAGTTAAAATATTTCTTTATATTATATATTTCAAAAGAAAAAAAAATAAAAATAATAAAAACTCTTTTTTGGTTCTTCATGTAGTAGTTAACCTTTTAAACAATTGGTAACAATTTTAAACAATTGGTAACAATTTTAAACAATTGGTAACAATTTTAAACAATTGGTAACAATTTTTAACAATTGGTAATAATTTTTAACAATTGGTAACAATTTTTAACAATTGGTAACAATTTTTAACAATTGGTAACAATTTTTAACTATTGGTAAGAATAAAGAAAATATTTTTTGAAAGTGCAGAAATGTCCAATTATTCAAAAGTACTACAACAAAAAGAAAATAAGTAAATATTCAATAACTTGAATCTTTTTTTTTTTGAAACTCAAATCACTTTTCCGATTCAATTCAAAGTTTTGAAGATTCACACGGCCCTAATGTGTGTATGTATGTATATATATATATATATATATATATATATATATATATATATATATATATATATATATATATATATATATATATATATATATATATATATATATGTATATATATATATATATATATATATGTATGTATATATACATACATACATACATACATTAGGGCCATATATATATATATTTTCATCAGGTTACTTCTTTACTCTAAACACATAAGTCTAATGTTAAAATATAGTTTATAGAAATTTTTATGGTATATTATAAACATATATTAAGTATAATTAAAAAGTAAATATGAAATACAAAATAATACCTTAAGATATTGCGATGTTCAGTAAAAATTATTTTAAGGCTAAACATTAACAGAGTTAATAACTGTATACTTTATTCTAAAAATAATAAATAAAATTTAGTGAGGTACTTGTTTTACTCAACGCCAAATTAAAAATAAAGAAATTATAAAGAAATATAATTAAGGTTGAATAAATATATAGAATAAAGAAAAATAAAGGTGGGGGATGATGACAATGATGATGAGATCATATAAAATATAGCATAAAAAAATACATATAGATAATGAATTTTATTTAAATACATAAAAAAAAAAACTTAAATAAAATTTTAGGATGCATTAACATTTAAGCAGCTCTGGTCATAGATCAGCAAATTAAATCAGTGAATTTTTGTGTGATATTATGCTGAAAAGATCAAAATGCTAAATCACCCTCTAGTTCATCTATTACAATATTCTTATCACTTTTATCTAAATCGTTATTAGATAAAGCTACAAATTCACTAATTTCATTACCAATTTGATAAGAAATATTGAGGTTATTATCCAGAGCAGTGGTGTTGGAAGGTTCATTATCTGTAGTAAGTTATTCAATATCTTTTATAGCCATCTAACAGAAGATTGATAAATGATCAAAAATATAACTCAATAATAATGTAAATAATAATAATGTAAATATAACTCAAGTAAAATAACTTTAAGATTTTACAATTTTATAAGAATTTTTTTTTTTAATGAATAATTTTCTAATAATATTCTAAATAATTGAGTTTATAAACTAAATGTAACTGTTTGAACATAAGTGAAATAATTGCATTTTCTTTTTAGTATTACCACTTGCACAAGGTGCTGGAAACAGTAAGTATTTTTTTTTTTTAACAAAAGTTTTTTAAGTTTGTAAAGTCAAAAAACTTAAAGCTGTAATTTAGTGAAAACCTTTTAGACAATTTTATTTTTAGGTTTATCATCTGCAAAAGGTTCAGTAAATAGTAAGTAAATGTAGGACTATACTTAAATAACATAACATCTTTTAATAATTGATCTTTTTAATTTAAGCTATTTTTTTGTTATATTAATAATTAGGGTAAACTGGGGTTAAGTGAACTAGGGGTAGAGTGAACTATTTTTTTATATAAAAAAATGATCACATTTTGTTTAGTAATTTAGCATTGTTTTTGCTTAATACAACATTTTAAAATTTTTCAAAACAAATTAAATTTAAAATATAGCTTTTGTTTTGATGTAAAAGCCATTTTAAAAAATGAGTTTTGCGTTTCAAAATTACATTATTAAAGTTTGTGATAGGTTTTACTAAATTTAGGGTTTGGTTTTGTTAATGTGAGCGCCAGTTATATTATATACAAAAATTGTTTTTAATATGATATAAAACAGCTAAGTTTTAAGTTTGTAAATCAATTTAGTTCACTTTACCCCTCATTTTTCTGTCTAATGGGGGTAGAGTGAACTAGTCTTTTTGTTATGTCTTTTCATAAATTACTTTTAGTAGATCTAGATTTAGTAGATGTCATTAATTTTAGATAATCTTATAAATTTTTTTGAGTTTTTACTTCAAACTTTGCAGAACTAAAAGATTTTTGCATTATTACAGTATGGTTGTTGTTTTAAAAAATATATAAATCATCATTACTTAACTAAATTGTTTACACTTAAAATAAATGTTTGCTATAAAAATTTTCTTGAAATTTACTTCAGAAATATAATATATTGAAATAATGTCAAGAAACTGCATTAGGAAAAAAGAATCTCGAAGGAAAACATATGCACCTAATTTGGTATCACATATCTAATTCTCAGTAGGTAAACCTTCAAACATGAGCACCTAATTTGCTAATTACTTATCTTTGATGGTCATATGAGTCATACTTCTTTAGAAACTGTTAAAACAATTGAAAATTATATAACTAATTTGTGTTTGCCAGCACACTATTTGGATCCGCTACAGCCACTTTCGCAACTACAGGGAGTCAGCCACTACAGGGAGTCTTTCGCAAAATTAAATATGTATAGCATGAAATTCTGGCTAATTGGTATATTAAGTCATAGCAAGAAGGTGGTTGGGAAATCTGTTTTTCCATCTTTACTAAAAAAACTTTATGATACCTCTTTTAAGTCAGCACATTTAGTAAAATCATTTGCCAAAACTGAAATTTTTCCCCTTGATCCATTTACTATATCATCTGACAAGTTAACTCCTTCAGAAATCTATAAACACCCTTTTTCTCAGAAAACAAATAATTGTGGCAACAACATCCCTCAAAACATCAATTTGAACACCAATGGCAATGGTCAAAACAATACTCGTGAAAATTTTTTTATTACGAAGTCAAAAAATAAATATAATTCTCACAGAACTATAATATCAGTAGACAAAGACTTGAACAATGAAAAAATAAATCAACTATTAATATCAGATGTTAATTATTTTAATGGAAATAAAACCATAAGAGAAGTAGTGAAAGAACAGTTAATGGTCACAAAGGTGATGTTTGTTTATACAACAAGCAACCTATGAAAAAAACAAAAAGATGCTATTGAGGTGAGTGTCTTACATAAGAATATTTGTTTAAAAGATTAAATGATGAAGAAAATGAAAGCTTTAAAAGAATGATCAAGCAGCAAGGCAAAATACAAAATACAAATAATAATTATCAAAAACATCCAACACATAAGAGTTAAAGATGAAGGAGTTCACTTTATACCAATGTGGGGGTAAAGTGAAGTAGTGAACATGTTTTTTTTTTTAATATATATTTAGTATTGTAATAATAATTTTTAATCTTAGTATTTTATTTCATGTTGTACCTAATACTTTAAGTGGTATAAATTTTAAAAACTGCACAATTTTAAACTATTTTTTTGAATAATTTTCCTTTAAATTTTGAAAACAGTTCACTTAACCCCAGTTTACCCTAGTTATATTAATGATAAATTACATTTTTAAAAAAACAATTAAAATTTTAAAAATCAAAAACAGAAAAACAGTTGTTGCTCAAACAACTGTTGATTTTAGCAACAGTTGTTTTGAAATGATTAGAAGCAATTAAATTGAATTGATTAGAAGTTAAATAGAAATGATTATATTATTTATTTTTGTTTAATTTTTGCTTAAACAAATATAAAAGATAAAATTTTCTTAATTTCTATTTTTAAATATTTTTAAGACAAACTTTACATTACCGTTCTTGCAATATCAGTTCCTGTTTTATTTATTGTAACAATATTTGTTATTGTTGTCCTGTTGAAAGTTCACAGAAAAAAAGTCAAGTCTCTTCAATCAATATGGAGACCCGAAATTTATAAAATTGAGTGAGTAATAAAGATTTTTTTGTTTTACATCAAATGGTTGTTATTTATATGGTAAGATGTTCGTGTTAGGTTACATGGGAAGATGTTAAGTTACATGGTAAGATGTTTGTGTTAAGATACATGGTAAGATATTTATGTTAAGTTAGCAACTTGTATTTGTAAATTGTATTTGGTTGATATTAATTTTTTATTGTTATATAAACATTTTTTATATGTGCTAGTTTACAGTTTTTTTTATACAAAAGATTATATTTATATGTATAGATTTAAAATATGTTTAAATTTTGTTGTTAAATTGATAATAGTAAACTACTTTAGAAACTGCATTGGTTTTGATGTATTACCCAAGGATGACTGGGAGATTTTTCCAGAAAATATCACCTTAGATAAGAAAATTGGTGAAGGAGCTTTTGGTACTGTTTTCAATGCTAAAATTAGTGCAAAAGTTCTTGCTAAAACAAAAAACTGTAACCAAATATTACCATTGTTTGATAACAAAGAAGATTCAACTTTTTATGTTGCTGTTAAACTTTTAAAAGGTTGTTTGTTTTTAAAGAGTTTTTAATTTGTTTATTTCTTTTGCAATATTTTAATGTTAGTATAATGAGTTAAGTAATGATGCAGATGTATGATTAAGAAGAATTGCATTTTCAATAAATAGTTATCAAAAGATAATATTTTGTATAAAAGATAAAAAAAGTAAATAAAAAAAATCTTTAGAATTCAAATTAGTTTCAAAATGGTTGCAACCATTACTTGAATTAAAGAGTTAAAAAATGTTATATAAACTAGAAAAAACAAAAAGTAAAGGTTTTAAAGCAATTATAAACATACTAAAAAAAATTAAATAATTAATATAGTGCGAAAAAATTGAACATATAGGAACAATTATGTTGCTTAACTGAATAAAAATTGATGTCACAGTTAATTAATTTAAAGTGACATCCCTTTACAATTACTGTAAAGGGATGTCACTGAACATATAAGAACAGTTAAAATCCATTTTTACATCTTTTAAATATAGCCTAGAAAATAAAATCAGAAGCAAAAAAATGATAAGCAAAATTGGTATAATGAAAAGTTTCTAAGGAAAGTCAAGTTTTCAGAATGAAGATCATACAAAAAAAAAATGAAGTAAAAAATTTAGTATATTGTGTATGTTGTATCAGATTATATACATATCAGAGTTATAAAATTACTATAATAAGAAAAATGTTATAGTAGTTAATGCAGTTCATAGAAATAATAACATAACAAATTTTTTTAATGTTTATTTGTTTTTATTGTAGATGGTGCTAACCAATCAGAATCTGATGATTTTTATGAAGAAATTAGTCTAATGAAAGGAATTGGATATCATAAGAATATTGTAAATATTATTGGTTGTTCCACAATAAAGAAACCTTTGTGTTTAATTGTTGAGTTTATGGAGAATGGAGATTTATTGCAGTTTTTGAGAAGTCGACGCAACAAAGTAAAATATTTTTAAAATTTTTTAACTTTTGAAAAAATATATAATGTAAAAATAAAATGGGAGGTCAGTATATACTTAGGCTGAAAATTCAATTGATCAGACAGTAAAATAACCATATAAAGGACACTTAATCCAAAAAAATCATAAGTCAAAAAAACTAATAATTTTTTTTTTTCTTTCTATTTTTTCCTTCTTTTTCTAAAAATGTTGCTTTTCAAACAGTAATAGAAATAGACATGCATTGCTTGTGGTATATTTTCCACAATTTTTTTACAATATTCAATTTCTCTTGGACCTGAGAATCACTTGTTGAAAAAAAAATTTATTTTTATGAATTGTAATTACACCTTTACATCTTTATAGCTGGAAGGATTTTTACCATGCTGTAACCTGTCAGACCAATTTATTAAATTTATATTTTTAAGGTACTAAAAACTTCTTGACAACTCTTGAGCATCAAAATTCCTGACAAATTTATAAGTTGATCAGAAAGTTTATAGTTTTAATTTAATTAAGTTTAATCCGAGTTCAATCCATTCTGAAAGGCTGGGATTAAAGTAAATAATTAGTATTTACTTTAATCCCACTTTTATTAGTATGATTTGCAATTTAATTACTGTAATTATAATACTATATATATATATATATATATATATATATATATATATATATATATATATATATATATATATATATATATATATATATATATATATATATATATAAAACTTGTATTTAATATGTAAATTTTTAAAATAGTTATAATAACATGAATTCCATCGTGACGGAATCACCGATTTGAATTTATTTTTCACATTTATGTTATAAAAATAAAAAAAACTGTAATGTGCATATTGTTATTCTATATGATATATGTGTTTGTCACACTTTGGCCTGAAATACTTCTAATACCAAAAAACTATAAATACATAATAATCATATAATATTAATATAATAATATGCGTGACCGAATCACCAATTTATAGACAAGCATTTTATGGTATATTATTATAGTAACATATTTCTGCTCTCCTATTTAAATTTATTTAACTTCACAAGTGTATGTGTGTGTGAAAATACATACCATTTGCAAATAATTAGAAACAATTATAAGTTAATTAGTAGATAATACTATATTTATATTAAGGTATGTGTGAGGGAATCACATAAATGGTGTGATAGAATCACCTATTAGCCATACTAACAAACACCTACTGTCTACTCACAGTAATATTTCAAAAGGCGAGTCAATAACTTGGCTACAGAACAGTTAACCATTCTTAATCAAATTAGACAATGAGCATTCATTCAATTAATTAGTTAACTATTTTATTGTAAATATACGATTAATTAAATCTTGATGGAATTTGTCTTGTACACTTTAAATCACGACTGCTAACAATAGAATTATCCATTGGTTCACTGTATTTCTCAAGAACTGCAGCAACTTCTGTAGCATTCATCTTCCCACTAATAATATAACACACTAATTATAGTTACGTAGTATTATAGTTACACTAATTATAGTTACGTTATGGATAGGAGAAATGTAATCTTAAAGTTAAAGATACACCAACAAAAATAAAAAAATGGGGAATCTTTATTTACAACATATGCCTTATTCATACCTACTACACTTACAATGTTTATTACAAATCAAAAACTACCTTTATTTTAAATAATTATTTAATAATTATAAAATCTGCCTTGGAACACACAATATACAAAGTTCTTTCCATATATAAATTTGACTATACATAAAATGCGACTTTAAATTAAGGCAATGAAATTACCAAAAAATATAACTATATTTTACTATATTACTAAGTAAATTACCCGAAATATTGTCTTGAAATCAATGCTTTAGGAATAATACTGACAGCATCCACAGTCGGTGTCGTATAAATAAAATGCATGCTAGGTGTTATAGAATTCGGATAGTTTGTAGTTTTAATCATAATATGCTGTTTTATATTCACAGTATTTGTGTACATCTTACACTTAACACTGTTCTATTGCAGAATAACACAATGAACAGTTTGTGTACCTGGAACAGCCGGTACATCACTCCACAAAAGATCAGCATTCAGCTCATTACATTTGGTTTCAATTTCATTAGGTGAAATGACAGTAACATTTATATTGCTCTGTACTGATTCAACAGCAGCAGCAAATGATAAAACATCTCATTTTATGAACTTTCTGGATAACACTTGACAATGGGCAATTCGTCATGACTGGTTGCAAAGTAACTCCACTGCAGCTGTAGATCAGAAACTTCCTTTAATTTTATAGACAAAAATAAATACAAATTTACTTTTGTATTGACTACATGGTCCATTGGTCCATATCTACACAGTATCAACTGTGGGTAAAGACAGTTTGATAAACTTGATAAATTTTTGCAGTATATGCGGCAACGGAATGTTTTTGATGATCGCGACAGTCTGAGACAAATATTTTTGAAATTATTTCAGAGCGATGCCAAATCATAATCACTGATACCAAGTCACTGAATCATCTGTATTCTCAGGTTTACTGGTGAAATATTTAGTAAAAAGACAAAAATCTTTGTAAATATGTGTGAATATCTTGCTGTGAATTACATATACAATTTGATACAAATTCATCTAAATACGTTAGAAATATTTGTGGATATTGACGATGTGAACAGTCCAGTAACAAAATAATGTTGCTATGGTATTTTCATCCGCATACATTTTGTGGCATATCGCTGGTTACAAGTACATTCTTTGGACACATCGAGGCAAACTTGGATTTTCCGATAATGTAATTTGGAAATTCAGATTTAAAAGTCTAGTATGCTTCAGCAACCATCATTACAAGATGGCGTTTTTGCATTTTAATTTTGCCGCGATTTGAATAAACTGTAACGACGTGTGCCTTTCTGGACATGACTCATGATATACTATCATTATTATAAAAGTTAGTAACGCATGAGTAATCTGCTGTTGTCACTGATAAAGGACCCTTTACTTCATTATTCAAAATATCACTGGTCAATTTTCAAACTACAGCTGCTTTTTTTCGAGGACTTTTGGGAAGAGCGTTTTTAGACTCACCTTCTTGCTTTTCCAAAGGGCGATAATGACTTGTAAGAAAGTTCATTTTTGATTGCAGTAAGAGGTGTAGCCAAGGAACAAGATTTATTAACAAATCAGTAAATTATTAATAAATCAGCTGCCTCTTTGTCGTCCATTTCTGAGCGCTGTCTCTTCTTTCGTAAACAATCCTTTGCTCTAGCAACTTCGAGCATAGCAGAATTTTCTTTATCTTTTATGCGGTACATTCGCTGTCTTTCGGCAGTACAATATCGATTTAAATTCAATAAAATTATTAAATTTACCTAATAGTTTCTAAAAACTAATTTTACATATTTACTGTACAATATTTCTTGATTAAAATTTCTTCTTTAAAATGATACCATTCTTACCTGTTGATATATTTTATAACATTAAATAATTAAAGATATATTATAGTTGCATTTTCCACAAAAAATTCCCAGGCAAATTGTAAACATACCTTGGTTTCACTAATTACCATAAACATTAATTAGCGAACTTATTTATCCATTTATTTAATATTTTCTTGTGATTAGATACACATTAAAGCTAATTACACCATAAATTTACTGTGAAAAATTAGTTAATAAAATCAAGTTAAGGTTAAGATTTTCGTGGAATTCATGATAAATATATTTTTATAAATCTAATTTTTCCAGTTTTATGCATCAAAAATGGATGGTGTTCCAAGTGTCAGCTTTATGTACACTGAGAGCTACCAACAGACTCTTGAGGTTTTAGTTTTTTAATAATTTGTGCTTTGTATTTTTATTAAATTGGAAATTTAAAATTGATTTTTTTATTGAATTGTTGTTAAAAACTTTTTTAGACAACAATACATGAGGATGGTGCCTCTGAAAGTATGTCATATGAGACTCCCCTAGATAAAAATGGGCTAATAACTCCACATGATTTAATTAGTTTTGCATGGCAAGTTGCATCTGGAATGGTATGACACAATTTAATTTATTATTTTATTGTTATCATATTGTAAATTCATTTTTTGTATATAAATATATTTCTGTATTTCTATTTTAGGAATATCTTATATGTAACAAACTAGTGCATCGAGACCTTGCTGCAAGAAACATATTGGTAGGTGCTGAAAAAAATGTAAAAATATCAGACTTTGGTCTGACACGAAAAGTCAATGATGAATTAAATTACATGAGCAGCAAAAATCGTCGGTTACCAGTGAAGTGGATGTCCGTTGAAGCCATATTTGATCAAGTATTTACATCATGTAGCGATGTGTAAGTTAATTTAGATTAATTTAAACATTTAATTCAAATGAATAATATTGTTTTTAATTTTTAATTTAGTTAATTACTTTTTTTTTGACAAGTAATAAAATAGGTTTTGTGTATTCAGTGGTACACCACTATGGAATGTGTGAATATAGCCCATATCTTCATGGTATTAAACATTAAAAACACATTGAACATTTAGTAGTACATAGAACGAATAATTTTGATTTTTTTTTATATATATTTATATATATTATATATATATATATATATATATATATATATATATATATATATATACATATATATATATATATATATATATATATATATATATATATATATATATATATATATAAATATATATATATATATATATATATATATATATATATATATATATATATATATATATATATATATATATATATTAGTGTCTGTTTCCAAACTAAATTTTATATAAAACTTTCCGATGCAAACAAGTTGTTTTTTCTTCAATTAAGTGTTTAAAATGCTTTCTCAATAAATGTGTAGTAACTTGTTGCAATACTAACTCTCTCATCTGTCTCCCTTCTATGTACTTCATCATTCATAATAAGTTTTTTTTACGGAAATTGATGAACTTTAGTCTAAAAATAATAAAAAAAACCTATTACATTTTTTCTTTCAAAAATAAATTTTTAAAAATTAATATATGGAATAGTTTAACATCTGCTGCTTTTCTTATCTTGCCAAGTTACACTTTCTGAAACTTCTTAAAACTTATTAAAACTTACCAGACTTTTTTGATCTTATTATAGCTGTTAACAACTTTTTATAATATTCTAGTTCTTTCTAAAATTATCATATAACTTGGTTCCGAGAATGTACCAAAGTAAATTAAATATTGGGCGGACTTTAAAACGGCGCACCCCAAACTTGGTAAACAACGAAAGCTTTTGTTACGAAAATTCTCTGTAAATATACTGAGTATTTTACAGAATGGTAAAACTGCGCCAATACAACAAGTGCCAACATGGCTACCTCAAAGGAAAAAAATAAACTTTCTAAAACCATTTTTAAAATTTAAAACCTTAACTAAGTATCTACAAAACAAATATAAATATTTACAACTATAAAACTACAACATTTACATCTATACTACTGGTATTAGAATTAAAATAAGAGAAGTTTTTTTATTTTAAGTAAGTTTTTTTTAAAGCTTTATTATTTTAAGTAAGATTTCACTATATCATGTAGGCTTATTTAAGAAATGTTTTGAGACAAGTTAAAAATTTACAAAAAACACTAAAAAAGTTATGTATAGGTGTTAACAGTTTTAAATATCAAATAAACACATACAATATATTATTGCTTTTTAAAATAAATGTTTTGATGTTCTTCAGTTTACTTTACTTTCATTAAATTTTTTTTATCCGAAATCTTCACTAGATTGTTAATTTTAAACTAATGTTAAATTTTTCCAATTAAGTTTTTTTAAATTTATCTCTTCAAATTGTCTTTTTTTCTTAATCTCATTGTTTTCCTCCAAGTATATTTTTCATGTCATCAGTATGTGTATCTTCTCCCAGCTGGTTTACAGCTGCAACATCTAAAACTTTAAATAAGCAGATGTCTCTAAAATACTGATACCGCTGAAGTGAAATTGGTTGACTTATACCTACTAACTCAGCTGCAGCAGTAACAGGGACCTCTGAAACCCATAAGAACATAAGTTGAAGTATATCACTTACGCTGACATTCAAAAAATCAACTTCGTATAGTCTTTGTCTTCTTATAGATGCTGCATCTATAAATGTGTTTATCCTTAAAGAAAAAAAGCATCAGAAAAAGATTAGGCAAAATCCAATTTAAGAGAATTAGATTTTATAAAGTAATTTAATCCTTATAAAAGAAAATAATAACTTAAATAAAACTCTAGCTTACTTACATTTTAAATACTTATCTGATTAAACTTCGCTTGTATTAAATATGATATGAGTGATTATGATACGATTAAATAGGATATTTATGATATAACTCCATAAAACATGATATGATTAAATATGATATTTACATTACTTACTTGACACCGCTCAAATCTTTGAATTGTTGTTTGCTGACCACAGATACAAGATTTACGAACAGGGATTAGTCTGTTTTGATGGAGAAAATTAATCAGCCTTTCTTTTTTTTTTTTTTCTTATTTAAATGTACGTTTTACAACTCATTTTATATAGACAGTTTTATATAGTTTACATTTAGACGTTTTATATAGACGTTTTATATAGTTTACATTTTTTTATAATTTTTTGATTTTATTTTTTTTTTTTTGTTTATTTGATTTTATATTTTTTTGTATTTTTTGATTTTATATTTTTTTGTGTTTTTTGTTTTTTTTATAAGGAACATTGTGCGGACAGAAATTGTAAGGTAAGATAAAGATTTGCAAAGGGTAGTAAAAAGAAAATTTAGAGCTTTTGAAGAAAAAAGATTTTTATTAAAAATTTTATTTAATAATTAACTAATTAGTGTTGGAAGTTACTGGAAGAAAAAAGATAAAGATTGTAGAGCGAGATAACGATTGACAGGCGACTTAAAAGATTGCAAATTATATGAATCAGGAAAGCAAGATGAAGGAAGCGAATTCCAAAGAACTGATGTTCGAGGAAAAAAACTAGACGAATAAGAGTTTTTGGAGCACTTAGAAACAGTAACAGAAAAAGGATGACACTTAATTGAATGACGAGTAACACGAGAATGAATTTTAGTAGATGGCACAAGAGACGCTAGCTCTTTCGAGCAGTGCCCATTATAGTATTTGTTGAAAAGAGAAAGAGAAGCAACATTACGACGATGTGACAGAGATTGAAGGTTGGCTGCAAGAGCAGGTCCAACTATGTTTACAATGCGTTTTTGCACCTTGTCTAAAAGAGAAAGGGCATCATTAGAAGATCTGCCCCAGATATGGCAACAGTATTCCATACAAGGCCGGATTTGGGATTTATAGAGATAGAGAATAGAATCCAGAGTAAAAAAGTGATGAGCTCGATAAAGAGAAGCAACTTTAGCAGATACTAATTTTGCAACGGATTTGATATAAGGTTTTCAAGAAAGATCAGAAGTAAGAGTTATTCCTAGAAGATGAAGGGTAGGAGACTCATCGAGTACGTTACCGTTCATAAATATTTGTTAGGTCTAAATTATTATTAATCGATAACGATTGGCTGAAAAAAATTGAGTTTTATCTGAATTAAAGTTCACCAGCCACTGTGAGCCTCATGCTGTAGCAGAAGTGAGATCCTTTTCAAGCTCAGATGCCCCCTGCAAGCAATCAGAGGAAGTTGGCTTCTTATCGTGACAAGAATAAATGGTAGTATCATCAGCGAACAATGCCACCTTAGATGTGAGAATATCTGGAAGATCGTTAATATAAATTAAAAAGAGTATAGGGGCAAGGATTGAACCTTGAGGAACCCCTGAGGTTACAGAATAAGAAGAAGAGTGCTGTCCATCAAGGACAACTTTTATACTACGGTTGGAAAGAAAGGATTCAATAATCTTAAAGATGTTTCCAGATACACCGTAAGAAGAAAGCTTATGGAGAAGACCAGCATGCCAAATTTTATCAAACGCTTTAGAAATGTCAAGAGCGATAGCCTTAACCTCTCCACCTTTATCTAATGTGCGATAAAATCTATCGGTTATTACTGATAGCAAATCAGCCATAGAACGAGAAGATCGAAATCCATATTGATGATCAGAAAGTAGGTTATGAGATTCGAGATTAAGTGTTTGTTAATTAAAGAGATTAAGTGTTTGTTAATTAAAGATTCAAATTCCTATCATTGCTTATGATATGAAGAAGACTAATGGGACGGTAGTTAGACGAATCGGATCGCTCTCCAGAATTTTTAGAACAGTAACACTAAAACTACTATACAAACTCTCAGGCCATCTTATCCATTAGGCACTATAGGCACTGTGCCTAGAGCCTACAAATCTACAGGGGCCTACAAAAGTAATGAAAAAAAAAGAAATTTCAAAGTGTTTTTCATTTCATTAATAAAACAATCATACAGATGCACATAATTGATAAAAATGTTTATAATCAAACAGTATAATTAGATGACATTAACTTTTCGACTTTTGGTATTTGCAAAATTAACTATATCTCCCGCATTACTTCATTTTTAATTGATAGCAGTGCCAGGGAGGATAGTCGGGCTCGTCCCATAGTTGAACGCAGATAGTTTTTTATCAGTTTTAATTTTCAAAAAGAACGTTCACCTTCTGAATTTGTGCCATTTGGAAAACTTGCAACTAGTTTATTGTCTATTTGCAGTGTAATCTTATCAGACACCGATTTACCATCACTAAACATTTAAGAAAACAGCAAAAACTCATCGGTAAATTCGTCTTCGAGGTCTGATGGATACAACTGAATTAGTGCCTTGGTTTTAGCCACTACTTTCTCACTTGACAAAGATCTGTTGTCAAGAAGAAAGTTAAACCTTTCATACAATACTTTAAAAGTTGCTCTGTGTTTTTCCATCTCATTATTAAGTCTGTCTATGATAACGTAATACTGTTGAATACGGAAATTATCACTAGCACTAACATTTAAACTGGGATTACTTGTATCCATAACTTCGTCATCAAATTGCTTCCGTATTTGCTTGCATTGTGTAGCTTCTTTGTAATCAGATTCTGTGAGATCTTTTGCCTGGCCTTCGAATGTTTCAAACTTTCTGCATGTGATATGCATAAAAATACTGTATGAGAATATCGTACTGTTTAATGATGGTGCACAGCTCAATACCCGGTTCCTGTAAAGCTTAATTGACAATATTAATCTTTTGAAGTAAATCTCTCCAAATCACACTCATTAACGCAAAGTAGTCTAAATGTTTAACCAGTGATTTTGCTTTATGAACAGCTGCTGGTGGTTGATGTTTGCTGTTAGTGACTTCACATGCTTGACACATTTGTAAGTAATTTGCATAAAAAGCTCTTGTGGCATCACT